GTTCGCACAGCAATCACAAACCAGTCAGAGCAAATTTCATTGGTTGGAAACAGTCAGAAACAGTCAGAAAACTAGTTTCAACCAATGAAATTCGCTCTGACTGGTTTGTGATTTCTGTGCGAACAGGCAAGGTTGTTTGATAGAGGCGAGAGAGGTAGGATGCCTGGTAACTTTATGACGTCATCTGGGGTGCCTCAACATAATGCAAATCTCTATAAGGTATCCTAGATCAGATGTGTCATCAAGTTACGTTTTACCATACAACCTGAACCTTGATTTATTGAAAAATTTGTCTTCGGCGCCATTAGCCCCATTTTGTTTACCTATAAAAAAATTAAGGGGGGGGGTAAGTAGTGTATGCCCTATGTCAAATTTGTCATGCCCTACCTTAAATTTGACTCTAGCTACGGCCCTGTAGTAGCCTAGTCATGTCTGTCTAATCAATTCTACTTATGTTAATTTTTGGAGCCCCATAGTAATTTTGAAATTCCGACGCCTATGATCTCATGATGAACCCATGACGTCACATCAAAATTGGTTCAAACCGTTTCGAAATACAATCCAATCCATGTTTTAAAACCATTTTCTCACGCCGAGGAGTTATGACGTCATTGTAAAACTGTTGTGCGCGGGACTGTCCCGATTATTATCGAAGAATAGAGATGGAGAATACCAACATAAAAAGTCTATTTCCACAGAAATCACAAACCAGTTAGAGCGTTTTTGATTGGTTCAGATTACCAACAACCAGTTTCCTGACTATTTTCAACTAATGAAATTCGCTCTGACTGGTTTGTGATTTTTGTGAAAACAGAACTAAAGTAATAGAGCATAGAACTGACCACAAATAACGAAAGGACAGAATATACCACTTGTATAATTCTTATACAAATTTATGTAAATTTAAATTACATGATATAATGATACTACCATACGGAACGAAACGACCATCAAACACGTTTGTGCTTCCACATTCCCCACGAGGTTACTCATGGGTGCACCTGCCCCAATGCTCCAATGAAGTTGGTGCCAGTGGGTGCTACTGGTGTTTATCAGTCAAAATATTGGCAGGTACACATATTTTACGTCACTAACAAATCAATGTCAACATCGGTTAAGGCCGGGAACGCACTAGGGCCAATGTTGGCGCCAGTACGGTCCGGGCCTTAGCGTATATTGACATTTATTAATGACAAAATATGTGAACCTGTCAATATTTTGACTGATAAACACCAGCATTTCGTATAAAGTTCATCTTTCAATGCTCATATTTCAAAGACCGTAATACCTACAAGATTTCGTTCCATTAGATTCTCAAAGGGGGTGTGCGCTAAAAAAAAAAAACAACTTCATCTCAAAAAAAAAAGAGAAAAGAAATCTAAGAATAACAGTGAGAACCGCACCCCTCTATGACAAATAATACCGAAGATTTGGCTTTATAAAGGAACCGCATCTCACCCTATGACGTCACGAGAGCTCAAACAACGCACGAGATAGTGAAGTAAATTGAATTTACATATGTTTTTCTGTGTCACCTGCAATAATCTAAACAAAAACCACTGACGCGTGCCGGAAACAAATTAACAATGCGGAGCGCGGCTGGACGAAGCTCTCGTGACGTCACACACACTTTAAAGCGGTATATCTCAGCGATGGTTTATTGTAGAATAACGAGGTTTGAACAGATTCTTAGATTTTTTTACACCAGAACTTTAATTTTTGTCGCGCACCCCTTTTAAGAATTAAATCCTCTACAACATATCAAAAAATGAAGTATATCGAATATGAAATACGAAATACAGCAAGGGTAGGTAGGTATGTATCGGAGGGAGGTTTCAGCCGTGCGTAAGATCAAGTGCGCTCTGAGTAGCCGACCATTTTGGTCTTGTAGAGTCTGTGGTTTTGCACCAACTGGTTCTGAGTTGGTTCCGAACCTAACACAGAGATAAAGTCCCGCTGAAAAAATATTATCATTTTTCATTTCAATTTTTCTGCTGCACTTTTTTCGAACATTTCGGCTTCGAATTTCACGATAAATCGTTCGCAGTATGAAATTTGTGTCACCCTGTCAGTAGAAATATTGAAAAGTCTAGGACAGAACAATTCGCCACGTCCCCCAAATAGGACAGTGGAGTCTAACACCGTTGGATTAAGTTTTCAAGGATAGAATACAATATTTAGGGTCGGTTTATTCGCCTTCTGATAAACTCTCAGGTATGCAATTTGATGGATAAAAACGCAATCGCTGTAATCCTATTAGTCGGCCAAATTATCCGCTGAGCAATATAATAGAATTTTAGAACGGTAAATTATCCGTGCAGATAGTTACCAGCAAGTCTATCTGAACATGAATAAACCGAGCCTAAAGCAACAATTGTTTTAGACAAAATGTTCAGAAAAAATTTAAAAAATTATGGAAGTCATTCGAGCGAGGGCTTCTAATACAAGATTTACATCTGCTATATTTGCTCTAAATCTTGCTCAGATATCCCAGTATGTTCTATTTTGTACAAAAACAGTTCTTGACATCTTGATAGACCAAAAAACCTCGGTACTGAGATATGGAATCGGTAATTATTATATGGGGTTGTTTATAACAGTTGTAACTGCCGTTTAGGAGGCAGTGATCCGGTTCTATATTGTAGCAGACATGTTCTTGTTTAAAGACGATAATTCCACAAGGGGAAAATTGCAAGTATGCTTTTCTATATTAGATTCGAATAATCATCATCATCCACACAGCCTTCTGGGTCTACTGTTGATGATAGGCCACCTCAAGGTAATTCCAGATCTTCCTTTTCTAGGCATTTATTACAATCTGGTTTATTCATTCCTAATGTCATATTGGTGAGTATTTCCATGCTGCTGATAGTTCCAACTTCTCTTTGCAAGAAGCAGATTCTCAAAAATATACAGGGAGGGAACCTTAAGTATTCCCAAAGAAACAAATGCCCCCTTACACTCATCCCTATATTCAAGGTGTGCCATGATCATCGAAACTAAGGATAACGCACACCTAATGGGATTATTAGGCTCTATGGATTCTGCCCATTTATTAATATGTTGTAGAGAGGATTTAATTTTTAAGATCTTTGAGATATGAGCGTTGAAAGATGAACTTTTTTGCGACTTTTAGTGTGGTGAGTATACGAAATACAGGGCTGGGATCACGACATGTAGAATTCTACTTTTATGACGTCACATTCGACCTAATTATCGCGTACAGTATAGGCGATTATGACGGTTACTAGGCAACTTGACGTCATGAAAGTAGAATTCTAGTACAATTTTACTCGTCGTGATCCCAGCCCTGGTCACTTTTTTATGATTTAGGTTTGCGTTTAGAAATAGCACTCTGGGATGTGAGAGTGACCCTAGAGTAACTCTAAGCCGTTCATAAATTAGTAGGTGCTTACTCGGAGCGTTACGCTGGAATCGTTCAGAAATCGAGATTTGACGTGCCCAGAGTGTGCGCCCAAACTACCCCACTCAGGAACAGGGTTGAAAAACGCCACGCGGTTTTTACCCAGGTTTGACGTGATTCATCGGCTTTAGTTGACAATATTTTGTTAGTGACGTAAGATATGTGAACCTGTCAATATTTTGACTGATAAACACCAGTATTTCATATACTCTCTTCACAAAAAGTCGCAAAAAAATTAATCTTTGAACGCTCATATATCAAAGGCGGTAATACCAATAAAATTTCGTCTGATTTAAAAGTTGTTAAAAGTTAAATCCTGTACAACATATAAAAAAAATAGGCAAAATCCATGAAACCCAAAAATCACATGTTAGGTGTGCGTTATCCTTTCACTAAGAAAAAAGCCAAAAAGTTATGATTTTTCAAATTGAATAGAAAAACTGAATGATTCTTCCATTATATCCTCCACTTCCATTTTCGATTTTTTAAGTTACCAAAATTTCATTAGAAAAAAGTCAAGGATAATGGCTCATCAGAAAAAAGTCAATGATAATGAAATTGTGATTTTCCAAATAAAGAGACTGGATGATTCTTCTACCACGTCCTCTACTACGTTTTTTTTTCTGGAAAGTTGGTACACCTGACAAGGTGATCAATTTTTCTATAAACTCCAGTAGCTTTTGGCTCTAAGATATCAAAACTTCATCAGAAAAAATTCAAGGATAATGAAGTTCTGATTTTTTAAATAAAATAGAGAGGCTGAATGATTCTTACACCATGTCGTCTACAGTCATTTTTGAAAATTTTTTTTTTTTGGAAAGTTGGTATAGGTACTTAAAATGACTACCATGTTTTTTATAAACTTTTGAAGCTTTTAGCTCTAAGATACCAAAATTTCATCAGGAAAAAGTCTCAAGGATAATGAAGTTGTGATATTTCAAATACCTACAATAGTGAGACTGAATGATTCTTCCACCATGTCCTCTAACTTCATTTTCGATTTTTTTTCTGAAAAGTTGGTATACCTGAAAGGGCTAACAATTTTTTCATAAGCTCTGGAAGCTTTTGGTTTTAAGATACCAAAATTTTAGAAAAAAATATTCAAGAATAATGAAGTTGTAATTGAGTGATTCTTCCATTTATCCTTTACCTTAAATTTCGATTATTTTTCCTGGAAAATTGGTATGTTTGGTAAAAGTTACCTATTTTGTCTTAAACTCAGGAAACTCTTGTTCATCAAAACTATATAAAGAACGCACCTTAGAATTCTGATATTTTAAAGGCAATATCGTATCTATTTATTTTTTCATCAGACTCTAAATGATTTCCAAAGATTTTGTTGTAATTGCCCAACAAAATTTTTCATACCTATCTTTTTTCCCTCTTAAACATGATTATTAGCCAAAACACACATACATGTGAAGTAACAAAAATTACGCATTCAGTCACGTAAAAGGAAAATTTCCAACCAGCCAGAGAAGAGAATAAAACAAACGAAACGTTTTTACACGCCGACGGTTTTCTCGTTTGTTGAGAATTTCTCTAGTGTTTGAACAAAAAAATAAAACCCCTCCTCCTAAAATAAAAATAAATTTATAATTTTTCAACAATATCATAAAAACAAAAATATTTGGTATTAAACTAAGGTATCTAACGTTTCTTTGGTGCTGCGGTAAATGTTGTTGTTGCTGTAAAGCAACGCCTGCAACATTTCGTATTCCTGATCCTCACTGGTCAATTCACGGTGTAAATTTTCCAAATCTTTCCTGCGCTTTTCCAACACTTCGAGCGTTTCTTCCAAAACCACTTCGTTGTGCTGCATTTCGCAGGCGCTTTTCGTCATGTCGGTACGTAGTTTCGTCAGTTGTTTGTGTTTGTCGTACTTTCTCAAATTGCTGTCCAACTTGTTGATGGTTTCTTCTTCTTTTAGTAAGTTTTTGTTTAGTTTTATGATTTTTTCTAGGAATTCTGTTTGGTTTTTGATGGTTGAGTCGCTCAAAGTTGAACTGGTGTCGTCATCTTTTATGTTACGATTGAATTCTTCTGAGGAGGCAGAAAATCGATCACTTGTGACCTAAAACAACATAATTGAAATTTCAAGAAATTAATGAATGAAAAGTCTACCTCAATATTTTTATTGCAATCTTTCAAATTCGTATGATTATTAGACTGTTCACTATCGCCTTCAGTCATAACTCCACTGTCGCTGTTCTTATCACCACCAATGTGTGATTCCAAGTCTGGATTCACCGCCTCTGATAGGCCCTTAAGGTACGTTTCCAATAAATAGTTGCTGCCGTGTTTCCGTACCCTTGCCCTGTGAGTTTTGTCTTCTAGATAACCGATTTGATGGTCGCTGTGTCTGAAAATATTTCATTCAAAAACTTACTTACTTTTTGAAATAATCCTTACCGTAATTTCTTTAATTGTCTCCTAATAACTTCTCCTTGGGCGAGTACTAGTTTTAATAGTTCTTCAGTACTCGATGGTCCTTTTTCGGTGTTGAGTGTTTGGAATCGTTTTGGGTGCACGGTTTTCCACATACTTCTGTCCGAGTGGGTACTGACGTCTGATCTACACTTGGTGCGTCTGTTTGTAGATGAGCGGAGCCTTCTAAGAGAGATTTTGACCTATAAAAAAATCACTATTGAGTTGTGGAGAAACTACAAATATATTTTCACTTATTCAACACATCAGTTTTGAAGCTTGAAAAAAGGTTAATTTGAGAAACGCCCCGAAAAACTAGATAATTTTTTGGTTCCCCCCTGTCTTCAAACCCAAGAAATTGTTTCATAACATTTTTTTTTTTTTTCCCCAGGAACTCTTTTCAAGCGGATCAACTTTGAACTTTATGCATAATGGGTAAGTACCTACAATGTGATGAAGATTTAAGATCTTGTATCAAACCGGTTTTATCATGATGAGTTACTCATATTCTGAAATATCAGGCAATAATTCTTCTGTAGTGATAATAAAGTTTTTTTACTCTACATTCAAAAGTTCACAACTCTGAGAAGAAAATCAGCAACTTGTAGAGGCAACTTAGAATTTTGATATTTTTCACTTATTTGGAAAGTCACTATTCTTAGAAGGAATTAAATAGCGAGTTCTAGTCTGTTTTGAATTATAGAGCAGTTTTAAATCTTTAAATTTGCTTCCGTATATAATTATGATATGTTTCCAAATTCTGAGATATTAGACTCTGAAGCTCTTGTTTTGGACTTCAGAGTCTTGATGTGCTTTACTCATTCATTTAGAAGGAATTAGATAGCAAGTTCTGGTCTGTTTTGTATTATAGGGCAGTTCAAAACTTTCAAATTTGCTTTGGTATATAATTATGATATGTTTCCAGATTCTAAGATATCAGACGTTGAAACTCCTTGTACTGGACTTCAGAGGCTTAATACACTTTATTCATTCATGAAATCACAACTTTTAGAAGGAATTAGATAGCGAGTTCTGGTGTGTTTTGAATTAAAAAGCAGCTCAAAACCCTTAAATTTACTTTGGTGTATAAGTATGATATGTTTCCAAATTCTGAGATATCAGACTTTGAAACTCCTTGTACTGGACTTCAGAGTCTTAATGCACTTTATTCATTCATGACATCACAACTTTTAGAAGGAATTAGATAGCGAGTTCTGGCATGTTTTGAATTATAGAACAGCTGAAAATCTTCAAATGTGCTTTGGTATATAATCATGATATGTTTCTAGATTCTGAGATATCAGACTTTGAAGCTCTTGTAATGGACTTCAAGTTTTGATGCTCTTCACTTACCTACTCAAGGACTTACGCAATTCTTAGAAGGAATCAGATAGCGGGTTAAAGTTTATTTTCAATTAGAGAACATCTTAAAATCTGCAAAATTGCTTTTATATGTTATCATGATAAGTTCCCAGATTCTGAGATATCAGACTTCGAAACTCTTGTAGCGGACTTCAAGTTTTGATGCTCTTCACTTATTCATAGACTTACGCAATTCTTAAAAGGAATCAGATAGCGAGTTGAGCTTTATTTTAAATTGGAAACCATCTCAAATCCTTCAAAATTGCTTTTATATGTTCTTATGATAAGTTCCTAGATTCTGGGATATCAGATTTTGAAGCTCTTGTAGTGGACTTCAAGTTCTCATGTTCTTCACTTATTCATAGACTTACGCAATTCTCAGAAGGAATCAGATAACGAGTTGAGGTTTATTCTAAATCGGAAAACATCTCAAAACCTTCAAAATTGCTTTTATATGTTATCATGATAAGTTCCCAGATTCTGAGATATCAGACTTTGAAGCTCTTGTAGTGGACTTCAAGTTTTGATGCTCTTCACTTTTTCATAGACTTACGTAATTCTTAGAAGGAATCAGATAGCGAGTTGAGGTTTATTTTAAATTGGAGAACATCTAAAAACCTTCAAAATTGCTTTTATATGTTATTATGATAAGTTTCTAGATTCTGAAATATTAGATTTTAGAGATCTTGTAGTGGACTTCAAGTTTTGATGCTCTTCACTTATTCATAGACTTATCCAATTCTTAGTAAGAATCAGATAGCGAGTTGAGGTTTATTTTAAATTGGAGAACATCTCAAAACCTTCAAAATTGTTTTTATATGTTATTATGATCAGTTCCTAGGTTCCTAGATATCAGACTTTGAAGCTCTTGTAGTGGACTTCAAGTTTTGATGCTCTTCACTTATTCACAATTCTTAAAAGGAATCAGATAGCGAGTTGAGGTTTATTTTAAATTGGAGAACATCTCAAAACCTTCAAAATTGTTTGTATGATATTATGATAAAGTCCTAGACTCTGAGATATCAGACTTTGAAGCTCTTGCAGTGGACTTCAAGTTTTCATGCTTTTCACTCATTCATAGACTTTGCAATTTTAAGAAGGAATCAGTTACCGAGTTGAGGTTTATTTTAAATTGGAGAACATCTCAAAATTGCTTTTATATGTTATTATGATAAGTTCTTAGATTCTGAGATATCAGACTTTGAAACTCTTGTAGTGGACCTCAAGTTTCGATGCTCTTCACTTATTTATAGATTTACGCAATTCTTAGAATGAATCAGATAGCGAGTTGAGGTTTACTTTAAATTGGAGGACATCTCAAAACCTTCAAAATTGCTTTCATATGTTATTATGATAACTTCCCAGATTCTGAGATATCAGATTTAGAAGCTCTTGTAGTGGACTTCAAATTTTAATGCTCTTCACTTCATAGACTCATAGGCGCCGAAACCCATGACTGCCGTCTCTGTATGGCTGTGAGATGACAGTCGTTCCACATCGATTTCCGGAATAGTCAATTCGTCGGGGATGTTGTCAGCATATTCTATGGAAGAAGCTTGCGACAACCTCTTAAAGAAGGAAGTTTGTTTTCGGAGCACCTCGGCTATGGAAGCATTGCTGTGCTCGCCGTATCGAGCGTCTAGGCCCTGTCGGAAAGCATTAACTACTCGGATCTGCCCCCATAGTGATTTTATTGGTGGGTGCAGAGATGTAGCAACAGGTCGTGCAAGTCGTGCCGCGCACAAGGGCCCGGGCCCCTAAGGGTCCCGGCGTGTCCCGCCGCTCTTTGGACACAATAGCATACAAGAAAATCAAAAAAAAAAATCATTTTACGCCCGCCCAAGTAATATTCGCTGTGGCAATTTTAAACCGAAACAGAAAACTGTAATATCGATCTCTACAGATTTCTTTTCAGTCAGTCCTCCGACTCCTAATACTCGTGTCAATATTGTCTATTGTGAATCTCAGTCGTGTATTAGCTCTCAAAAATTTCTATTTTACGGACCCATTTCCGTCCGTAAAATGTTTAATTTTCGGCCTTGTCCCTAAAAGTCGTTATAGCAATCAGAAAAAAATTTACTAGGCGCTCTTGCCACATCAATACTAAGGCGTAATCAGATTTAAATTTCTAATGTCACATTTATTTCACATTTTTGTTAACGGAATTCGATCAATTTTTAGAGTTTTTTTGACTCATCAAAAATAGTATATTGCGTGAGGAGTCCGGAAAGTACTGTTTTTTTGGACGAGTAGACAAGATTCCAACACTTTCCGGGAATATAACGTATACTATTTTTTCGGTCGGAAAGAACATACTTTCCAGACTAGGCCGGAAAGTAATCACATCCCGGCCTAGGCTTAAAAAGGCATACTTTCTTAAGTGAAACGTGTTCGGAAAGTATGTACTTTCAGAACGGTTGCCGAAAAACCTCATTTGTTAAAAAACTAGCTATCGTCTGTTAACCTAGGCTATCCCAACATCTCAAAACTCTCAAAATTGCTTTTATATGTTATTATGATAAGTTCCTAGATTCTGAGATATCAGACTTTGAAGCTCTTATAGTGTACTTCAAGTTTTGATGCTCTTCACTTATTCATAGACTTACGCAATTCTTAGAAGGAATCAGATAGCGAGTTGAGATTTATTTTAAATTGGAGAACATCTCAAAACTTTCGAATTTGCTTTGGCAGATTATTATAATAAGTTCCCACATTCTGAGATATCAGACTCTGAAACTCTTGTAGCGGACTTCAAGTTTTGATGCTTTTCACTTATTCATAAAGTTACGGAATTCTTAAAAGGAATCAGATATCGAGTTGAGGTTTATTTTAAATTGGAAACCATCTCAAATCCTTCAAAATTGCTTTTATATGTTCTTATGATAAGTTCCTAGATTCTGAGATATCAGATATTGAAGCTCTTGTACTGGATTTCAAGTTTTGATGCTCTTTACTTTTTCATAGACTTACGCAATTCTTAGAGGAGATCAGATAGTGAGTTGAGGTTTATTTTAAATTAGAGAACATTTCAAAATTGCTTCTATATGTTATTATCATAAGTTCCTAGATTCTGAGATATCAGACTTTGAAGCTCTTGTAGTGGACTTCAAATTTTGATGTTCTTCACTTATTCATAGACTTACGCAATTCTCAGAAGGAATCAGATAACAAGTTGAGGTTTACTTTAAATGGAAGAAAATCTCAAAACCTTCAAAATTGCTTTTATATGTCATTATGATAAGTTCCTAGATTCTGAGATATCAGATTTTGAAGCTCTTGTAGTGGACTTCAAGTTCTCATGTTCTTCACTTATTCATAGACTTACGCAATTCTCAGAAGGAATCAGATAACGAGTTGAGGTTTATTCTAAATTGGAAAACATCTCAAAACCTTCAAAATTGCTTTTATATGTTATCATGATAAGTTCCCAGATTCTGAGATATCAGACTTTGAAGCTTTTGTAGTGGCCTTCAAGTTTTGATGCTCTTGACTTTTTCATAGACTTACGCAATTCTTAGAAGGAATCAGATAGCGAGTTGAGGTTTATTTTAAATTGGAGAACATCTAAAAACCTTCAAAATTGCTTTTATATGTTATTATGATAAGTTTCTAGATTCTGAAATATTAGATTTTGGAGATCTTGTAGTGGACTTCAAGTTTTGATGCTCTTCACTTATTCATAGACTTACCCAATTCTTAGTAAGAATCAGATAGCGAGTTGAGGTTTCTTCTAAATTGGAGAACATCTCAAAACCTTCGAAATTGCTTTCATATGTTATTATGATAAGTTCCCAAATTCTGAGATGTCAGACTTTAAAGCTCTGGTAGTGGACTTCAAGTTTTGATGCTGTTTACTTATTCATAGTCTTACGGAATTCTTAGAAGGAATTAGATAGCAAGTTGAGGTTTCTTTTCAATTGAAGAACATCTCAAAATCTTCAAAATTGCTTTTATATGTTATTATGATCAGTTCCTAGGCTCCTAGATATCAGACTTTGAAGCTCTTGTAGTGGACTTCAAGTTTTCATGTTCTTCACTCATTCATAGACTTACGCAGTTCTTAGAAGAAATCAGATAGCAAGTTCAGGTTTATTTTAAATTGGACAACATCTGAAAACTTTCAAAATTGCTTTTATATGTTATTATGATAAGCTCTCAGATTCCGAGATATCAGACTTTGAAGCTCTTGTAGTGGACTTCAAGTTTTGATGCTGTTTACTTATTCATAGTCTTACGGAATTCTTAGAAGGAATTAGATAGCGAGTTGAGGTTTATTTTAAAATGGAGAACATCTCAAAACTTCCAAAATTGCTTTTATATGTTATTATGATAAGCTCCTAGATTCTGAGATATCAGACTATGAAGCTCTTGTAGTGGATTTCAAATGTTGATGCTCTTCACTTATTCATAGACTTACGCAATTCTTAGAAGGAATCAGATAGCGAGTTGAGGTTTATTTTAAATTGGAGAACATCTCAAAACCTTTAAAATTGCTTTTATATGTTATTGTAATAAGTTTCCAGATTCTGAGATATCAGACATTGAATCTCTTGTAGTGGACTTTAAGTTTTGATGCTCTTCACTCATTTATAGATTTGCGCAATTCTTCGAAGAAATCAGTAGATAGCGAGTTGAGGTTTATTTTAAATTTATCTCAAAACCTTTAAATTTGCTTTGGTATATGTTATCATGATAAGTACCCACATAACAAAATTGCATCCTTAGAATGTATTAAGAATGTTCTTTTTTTAGGAGAAATGTGCCTAGAATGTTCGCCAAAACCATTGCGAATGTCCTGAGAATGTTCTGAGAAAAGATAGTAAAAATACTGTTTGTAATACCCAAGAACTTCCTTGGAAATCCATTAGGATATTCCTAGAATATACCTATGAGATTCTCAGTACATCCTGAAAAGAATATTCCTGTTTGATTCTAAAAATATACTCGAAATGTATATTCTCACATTCAAAGAATGTTTCTATGACATTATAATTATGTTCTCAAAAGAATAGTATACCAATATGCTTGAAATATTCTTAGAATATATTTACATATATCATTCTCAATATGCATCCTAGACATAACATTCTTGTTTGATTCTAAGGATATGGATATAGTGGATATACTTGGAATGTCAATTTTCGCTTCCAAATAATGCTCCTTTCAGCCTTTTTATATTAAAGGCAGTGAATGAGTTGTTGGAAAACTTCTCTGGAAAACACAAGTATTTAACCAAAGCTTCGGTTTCGAGCTTGTTATGCTCTCGTCGAAGCACGCCAACTGAGAGAAACAGGTTTCAAGGTGATTCAAACGCGAGGCAAGATGTAGATCTTTAATAGCGCGTGGCTCCCTCTCTTGGAAGTCCTACAAAGCAAAAGAAAAAGAATATACCTATAATATTCTTAGTAGGTTCTAGATAGAGCATTATTGTTTAATTGTTCAATTAAGATTTTTGAGTAGGTACTTTAGATAATTAGGTGAACAATATGAAAATATTCTTATCATGGTTACCTACCTACATAAACTTCTTAGCACAACTTGGTAGGTATATTCTTAATACTTGATACAGATATTAGCCGAAGGAACATTTTTTACGGTACATTATAATAATGTTCGTATGAGAATATTCGAATAATATTATATAAAGTAGGTTCTTAGGACAATTTTTCAGGTAGGTGCATAGAAGCAACATTCCTAGTACATAAATAGAATGTTCAAAAATGAATATTTCAATCGAAACAATCTTAGAATATTCATTGAATATTCCTAAAAGAACATTCCAAAAAACACTTTGAGGGAATATTCTGAGAATATGAATGTTCTTTCACTGTTATGTGGGTATATCTTGATGCTGAACTTAGAGAAGAAATCAAAATATATATATATATATATATATATACCTCCGTCTGAGCAGATCCCCAAGTATTCCAAATATCCAATATTTTCGCGTACGGCTCCAATGATTGCTCCACACCCCGCCATCTCTCAGTTATTTGGTAATGCTGTGGCAATCCCATGTGTTTGCCCTGCAGAAATAAACAACAATTATTGACTCAATGGCGAAAGCAATATAAACTTCCATTTAATCCTGTACATATTGGCGAAAGCGTACAATCAATTCTTGACATAATGACAATAAATATACAAATTCTTACCCTTTTCTCTTCATCTTTGCACAAAACATCGATGACATCAATACACCGGGTCTCTTCCGTAATTCCCGAAACCCATCGTTGTTCGCCTCTCACCCATATGGGAATTTCTTCGCCGCTGCTACAACTGCTTTCCAAATCTGAGTCTTCTTGTAGACGGGACAGACGACTGGTGTCGCTCAGCCACATCTTATGAGACACACTAGAACAATTTATACTTATATGGTACCTTGTCTGTGAGAGAGAGTTAACAAATAAGTACCAGCAGTAGTAGTACGTGTTTCCGGTCTTCGGAAAACTTAAAATTCCCATCGACAGGAAAAAAAAATTCAAACGGATATGGTTCATTATTGTCCAATTTTAGTCGGAAATTACTCGATCGTGACGTAGTTTTTTTTTTTTTGTGTGTGCGATTAAATAAATCAATATATTTTAATTATTATGTCGTTTCTAGTTTAATTAATGCAAACATGTATGTCTAATCGTTCGAAATTAATTAGGTGTAAATTGTCTAATTGATTTATTAATAAATAATCGATTGTTGGTGGTCAGTAATAGTAATAGTAATACCAACATAATTCTTTTTGTTTCAATTTCGTGATTGCCTTAGGAGTCGGCATCTGTCTTATGTGTGTGAGCGCGTGGCGCAAAACAAAAAACGAAGAAGTGCCTTTAAGCTGTATTATAAATCTTACAACAAAAAGGTTTTCTTAATATTTTTAGAGTCGAGGTTACCCTAGGAAAGAGATTGTACAAGTAGGTATTGCATAAATATATCATTGCTCAATATTGAATGAATCAAAAGGTAAAAAGCAATTTAATTAGTGATTTATCGGTTAGTTTTATAGTTCCCGAGCCTATCAAGATGAGGTCAGGTAACGAACATAAAAGTTTACTACTAAAAAAGGTTAATACGGACATAATATCGCACCATTTAATCTAACTACCACGTTTCTTATACATAAAATATGATTTTTCCACTCTGTTTAAGTTACAATAATCATAAAATTATTAATTAACGTACTGTGTGCACGAAGTGGTACTTTGAGGTCTTCTATTCAGGACAAAATCATCATGATCTATATTTGGGTTGGTGGTTTTGATTTATAACTCTTCAAAGTAACTTAATAAGTACCAAATATGTATAGGTACAGCGAAATCAATTATATTTAATTTGATCTTATTAGATATTGGAAAAGTTGTCATTGCGGTTAATCAGAAATAAGGAAACTCGTTTTGGGCGCCATCTATAAAGAAATGTGAAGGGTGTTTTATTTTTTCAAATGCAAAAGAGGTTTTTCCGGTTTTTATGGGCTGGGGCATAATCATTTTTCTTCACACAAAGTTTTGGAAAACGGTTTTAGGGAAAAGCTATAAGTTTCTCAAGATTTTCCTTTATTTGAACTCTGATTTGCTTATGATTTTCCCTGATTGCCTTGGATTTCCTCTAATCTCCTGAAAATTTCAACCTATTTTCGACTTTTAGTTCCCGAGATTTTTCAATTTTTCTTATTTTAAAGAAATCTGCTTCAAATCTCACAATGGACAATTTAGTGTATGGAGCTTTGGCAGTATTTATTGCTCATTGGTCTTTTGGTTTTGGATACAAAAAATGTTTTGTGGTTTTTGTCTGCAAATTTAGATTTTTAAGATTTTTAGATTCTGAGTCCTTCTTTCGCAAATGTTCTGCTTTAATATATGAAGACTATACCTATAGGGATCTTGATATATCTGAAATCCTGCTTACTGAGTCATCAGTTTGCGTATTTTCTAATTTTTCCATAAGGACTCCAAGTTTTAAATCCTCAATTTCTCTGATGATCCTTTCAAATATTTAGAACTTGAGGACCTCTAGATTTCTGAATCGTCCTTTTGCAAATTTCCTGGTTTTCTTAAGATCCTGTGAGTATTTTTCGTATTATGTATTTGTTTTTCCTATGACTCATAGATTCTTTGGATCCTTAAATTCGGTTAATTTCCTGATGATTTTTATCTGATTTTCTCTTTTGAGAGTCGATCCTAAGGATCTTTTTAAAGTGTTTCTCGCAAAAATTTTTCTCTAGGAAGGCTTTGAAAATTCTGATAATACAAACTTTGAAAATTGATTGGTTTTCTCTTGACCTGATCTTAAACTCATCTTCCCTAGTATTACTATCAGGGCTGGGACTCAAAACAAGTGCCATAGCGATAGGGATAATGATCACTATCCGTTACAGAATCCCAGCCCAGGATTCTAAATCAAGGAGTTTCAAGATCCTGAATCGCAAATGTGCACAGGTTTCAGCCTATTTGGACTTCTATTTCATGATAATTTAGTGTATGGAGTTTGGGGGTCCCATAAATGATTATTTAAAGGGGGTGTACGCCAAAAATTAAAGTTTCAATGTAAAAAAATCTCAGAATAACTGTTCAAACCTCGTTATTCTAGGATAAACCATTGCTGAGATATACCGCTTCAAAGTGTGTGTGACGTCACGAGAGCTTCGTCCAGCCGCGCTCCGCATTGTTAATTTGATTGTTCCCGGCACGCGTCAGTGGTTTTTGTTTAGATTATTGAAGGTGACACAGAAAAAACATATGTAAATTCAATTCACTTCACTATCTCGTGAGTCGCTCGAGCTCTTGTGACGTCATAGGGGTGAGATGCGGTACATTCATAGAGCCATATCTTCGGTATAATTTGTCATAGAGGGGTGCGGTTTTCACTGTTATTCTTAGAATTTGTTTCTCTTTTTTTTGAGATGATGTTAGTAAAGAATATTTACTTGCACCTACCTAACAAAAAAATGCCGGATGACGAAGCGAACAGGGTTGGGTAATATCAGCAAGAAAAGGATGAGTCAGTCTTGATGTTCCACTGGTGATGATCAGTCGATTTGGAAATAGCGATATTCAATTTCTTTGTAACTAATATACTTAATTTGTTTAAATGAAATCGAGTCTTATTATAATAAATATTTGTGCGCCTAAGAAAAGTAGCTTACAAGTTGTTTTTTTGGCGCACACTCCCTTTAAAATAACACCTTATTGTTTTTCTGGAAAACTATCCAAGGAAAAATTATGAAATTTTCAGGAGAGAAAGAGGAGAGTTAGGAGCTCATCATGCTGAAATTTCAAGCCTTTCTAGTGAGAAATATGTGCATGGCAAATCAATGAAAATCAACTTGCAAAATCCTAATTAAGCAAAAATGCATTCTCTAACAATTTACTTTTTTCCTGGAAAACTATCGAGGAAATAATCCATCGAGTGATTTTTCCTGGCTCTTGATTCAGATCAAGAACCGGGAATAATGAAATATTGAACATTAGGAAAGATCGGAAAATCGAATCAATTTTGATGTCATTTTGTTGCTTTTTATTGACATAAATGAATTAAACATAATTCAGATCAAGAGCCGGGAATAATCATAAATTGAACGTTGGAAAAGATAAAACTGCTGAAAATAGACTTAAACAGATTAGAGATTTCTAACTACGATAACCCCCAATTACTAGGCAATCCAAACCACGTGCCTTTTTCACGTTTGACCACGCCATATTGAAAATCAGAATTTTGCCTCCTCCTAGTGCCTAATTGCAAAAAATTGATCGAGTGATTATTCTCGGCACTTGAGTCAGATAGATCATGTTGGGTTTTTCAACTTGGTTTGAGGAAATAACAACAACTTTTGATTTAAAGACAAGAGGACTTTAATTTATAATTAATTGGAACACAAAATACATTTAATAATTTCGATAAAATAAAGATGATTAAAGATTAATATTTTAATTTCGAAAAATAAGTGAATAATGATGTTTTCTTGTGGACTGTATATGAGGTTATGTCAGCCCAGTCAGCCCTTTTCTTTCGCTGTCACGCTCTTCTTTATTCATTTTTTCTCTTTGCTGCAACATCAGAGGCGATTTTCAGCCTGGAATGATTATTTATCGGTAAATACCGTGGTTATTATTTTGGTTGACAACTTTGACAGTCATAGCCCCCCACCACTCAAGAATCATAACCCAAGGAACTGACCGCTGAAATGATTTGGTTATAGAAGTGTAGGGTTATGTTTATTATTCTTATTTGTTTTTTCGTTTCAACAATGGTTTGTTCAGTTTGTTGTTTAGGTACCCAAAATGGAGCAAAATCTCTCGTTAGTCTCGTTTATCGAACAGATTTTCTTTGGGGATGATCTAAACCTCGATCTAAACATGATGAGTTGCAGTGAGTGAGTGAGTGTATACTTCTTCCATTGTAACAGGCCACAACACAACTGCAAAATCACAAAACACCAATACCAATTCCCAAAATAATAACAATAACATCAAAAAGCTGTAACCAAAAGATTAACCCAAGTCCAAAGCTGGGTTATAATCGGTTATAAGTGGTAAATACCAAAAGCAAATCAGCTGATATGTGACATCACAACTTCCCCTACTTTGGTTAAAACCGCGACGGCGGAAATGCATTGGTTATAACCAAATAATAATCATTTCAGGCTGAAAATCGCCTCAAGTTACTTATAGCAACCTAATGGCGGAACGAGGACACAACAGAGGCGCACTTTGTCTTTAGTCTTTAACAGATCAAAACCGAGAATATTCAAAAATTGAACCTTGGAAAAGACCAGCTAATCGAATCAATTGTGGTACAATTTTGTAGCTTCCTGTTATCATGAAACATCAAACATCCAGAAGAAAATGGCGGATTTATAGTACCGATATTCTAAAAGAACTGCTACATTGACCAAGAGATTGATCGAGTGATTATTCCCGGCCCTTGAGTAGGATCAAGAGCCAGGAATAATCAAAACTTGAAAATTGGAAAATATCAGGTAATTGGATCATTTCTGATGCCATCTTGCAGTTTCCTGTTGACATGAAACAATAAACATCCAAAAGGAAATAGTGGATTTATAGTAACAACATTCTAAAAGAACTGCTACATTGACAAAATGATTGATCAAGTCATTATTCCCAGCTCTTGAGTAAGATCAAGAGCCGGGAATAATCAAAACTTGAACATTGGAAAAGATCAACTAATCGGATCATTAATGATGCCATTTTGTAGCTTCCAGTTGACAGAAAACATTAAACATCCAGAAGAAAATGGCAGATTTATAATAGCAACATTCTTTAAGAATCAAAGAAGAAATTGATGAATACGAATCAAAAGCCGGGAATAATCAAAAATTAAACTTTTCTGTAGAAAAAAAATCA